TTTTTTTTTTCAAACAAACGTCCTCTTATATGGTGTGTACAAGTTTGCTTCGCCCTCTAAAATTGCTGAAGTATATTCGTGTACGGGGTGTGTGTGTTATGCAGACTTTCAGGCACGTATGGCACGTCGTCTCTGTGTGACTGTGGGCATCTGGAGAAGAGAGAAGCCTCATTTGTTACCAGCCCAGCCTGGCCGTCCCACCACATGTAGTAGAACGACAGGGTGTCACCACCTACGACAGTGATGGATGCCCTAAATTCTGTAGGCAACTTGGGCAATTGGACACATTAACAACAGGCACCTGCTTTACCCCCAAACCCCCACCCCCATACAAATCTATTAAAAGATAACAACAATGGCAACTCCTGCACTGTTAGTAAATTATATCTGTGCCTGGGTGTGAGGTAAGTGTGGGCCTCCTTTCACACACCTTCATCCCCACTATCACTGCACCGTCTTATCAGCAGTCTCATAGTGCCACCCAGTGGCAGCAAAGTTGTGGAGCTCTGTATTTGAGCACGGGCCACAAAATAAACATAGACCGAGTTTACACCAAGGTAATCACTTCACATCTATCTGAGTCAACAGATAGACGTGAAGTGATTAACACCAACATTAATGAACTTCAAATTAAATGTAATTAGATTTGATCCACAATCTGCTTTGATTCAACAAACCAATACATTATACATGCATGGAGAAGGTTAAATAATAGTGAGTGTATTATTTAACAGTGTCAAGATATCAGTTTTATACTGTCACAAAAAAAAAACATATCCAGAAAAAAAATAAAAAAATAAAAATACATTTTTTTAATGCACTACTACTAGGCAACGGACACCTACCACATTTTCCCAAAAATAAGATACATGATTTTTTAATAGCAGTTCAATTATATACAGTATAATTGTATAGTATTATAGTATAATATACGGTATACAGTATAATATAAGTTACAGTGGTATGAAAAAGTTTGGGCACCCCTGATCATTTTCAAGATTTTCCTTTATGTATCATTGGTTGTTTGGAACAGCAATTTCAATGAAATATATCATATAGCAAACAAACACAGTGATATTTAAGAAGTGAAATGAAGTTTATAGGATTTACAGAAAGTGTG